AGACATTTTGGTTTTTCAAAAATTCCTTTAAATTCCTACTGAAACTTATAATTAATTAATTAATTCCTGCTGAACCTTAAACTAAATATGGAGTAACTAGGAAGAGAAACAGTATTGACCTTAATAAAGGATTAGACACAATGAAGAATTATCATGGACACGTAGTAGGAACATTTATCCTCCTGAGTTTCTCACTGCATGCTATTATTTGTCGTTTGTCTCATTTACACTCTGATTTCTTTTGTGGTTGTATGGTTATAAATTGAAATTTGCAAATTTAGTGTTATTTTGATCTAAGGTATTGAATTTTTTGGTCCGTATTTTGAGACGTTTGCTAGTTTTAGGAAAGAAGATTTCCTCAGAATTTAAAAAAAAAATGTTACTCTGTTGTACCAAGATGAAATACTGAATTAGTAAAATGGATATAAAATAGTTTTTCCAGAACGTTAAAAAAAATTAAAAAGCATTTACTTGTTCTAATGGAATTCATAGCTACTGCTTATGAATACAAACATTTACTTCTTGGATTGCTTGTTTTAAAAATTTCATATTGAGGGTTATAAAAGTAAAAAATTAATTTTAAGCTATTTCTAATATGGTTATTTGCAGTAGCAACTGTGTCACCTCATAAAAGAAACTTCTAGATGCTTAATAAAGAGCTTAAATCCCTTCAGATTTCTTTTTCCTAAGTGAAAGCAGGTGCTGAGCATTGTCATCTCCCAATATATTGAAATTACTAAAATATTTAATAAGCAACCAGGGTTTGAAGTAGTGACCAGATGTTTTCAGTTTCCCCAGGATGACTTTTACAGCTAAGCATTTACAATGAAAATGAGCTAAGTTTGCCAGTTTAACAAAAATGCAAATAAAACACACAAACACAGTAAGTTGTTTCTTTTGAACTAAAATTAAAATGCTGTCATTTATATTTAATCTGTCTTAACATTTACAATTAGAGATTTCCAAAGCCTAACCAAACATGAAATTGAAGCTTCCCCCTCCATCTTTAGTAACTTTATTGAGACATTATTTATATACCATAGGATTCACCCACTTTAAGTATACAGTTTTGGGATTTTTAGGAAATGTATATAGTTGTACCACCATCATCAACCTCCAGTTTTACTTGAAGAGTATAACTTCAAGGTTTTTGTCATAAATTTACAGTTGTGAAACCATCACAACAATCAAGATAATGAATATATTCATCATTCCTAAAACTGTCCTTGTGTGCCTCTGTGTAACCCCTCTTTTCTGCTCTTCTCTTATTCTTCCTACCCACATCTGTCTCCAGGCAATCACTGACCTGTTTCTGTCACTTGCTATTGGTTTGTATTTTGTAGAATTTTATATAAATGGAATCATAGAGTATATACTGTTTTATTTTGGGAGAGGGATTTCTGGCCTTTTTCACTCTGAATAATTACTTTGATATTTATTCATCTATGTTGCATGTATCAATAATTCCTCTCTACTATTGGTAGTATTCAGTTGTGTGGATAGTCCATAATTTGTTTATCCATTCACCCGTGATATTTGAGTTGTTTCCATTTTGTATTTTTTCAAATATAGCTATTAATAACATCCTTGTGCAATTTTTGTGTAAATGTAGATTTCAGTTGGGTAAATACCTGGGAGTGAGATGGCTGGATCATATGGTAGTTACTGATAATGGATTCTTGACTCATTTATATATCTGAAAAGTCTTCATTTTTGAACGATATTTTCAGTGAGTCTGGAATTCTAAGTTCACAGTTTATTTGCTTGTTCATTTCCTCAGTACTTTAAAGTTGTTGCTTCTCTGTCTTGCTTTCATTGTTTCTAGTGAGAAATCCACTGCCATCCTAATCTTTGTAATGTGTCTTTTTCTCTGGCTGCTTTTAATATTTTCTTTTTATTATTTGTTTTGAGAAATTAGATTATGTGTGCTTCATGTGATTTACTTATTTTTCTTTTGCTTGGTGTTCTTTGAAATTCTTGGATACTTCCAAGGTTTATAGTTCTCATCAAATGTGGAAAATTTTCAGCCATTATTTTTTCAAATATATTTCTGTTCCCATTCTCTCTGCTCTTCATCAGGGACTTAATTGCACATATATTGGGGCCACTTGAAGTTAAACTCACAGTTTATATATGCACTGTTTTTTTTCCCCTCAAGTCTTTCTGTCTCTTAATTTTGATCATTTCTATATCATTGCTATAGCTTCAAGTTCACTGGCCTTTTCTTTGCAATATATAATCTGCCACCAATCCCATCCATCCGAGTGTATTTTTCCTTAAATCTCATGGTAGTTTTTATCTCTAAAATTTTGTTTTGGATGTTTTTTATTCCATGTCTCTATTCAACTTTTTGAACAGATGGAATGTAATTATAATAACAGTGTGAATGTGTTTATCTGCTAATCCTAACATTTATGTCAGTTTTGGATTGATTTTTATTGTATTTATTTGTTCTTATTATGGGTCTTATTTTTCTGTTTATCTGCTTGCCTGGTAGGACAGGCAGAATTTTAAGAATGATCCTTGGAGGGGCGCCTGGGTGGCTTAGTTGTTAGGCGTCTGCCTTCGGCTTGGTTCATGGTCCCGGGGTCCTGGGATCGAGCCCCGCGTCGGGCTCCCTGTTCGGTGGGAGGCCTGCTTCTCCCTCTTCCACTCCCCCTGCTTGTGTTCCCTCTTTCGCTGTCTCTTTCTGTCAAATAAATAAAATAAAATCTTTAAAAAAAAAAAAAAAAGAATGATCCTTGGAACCCCTCTCCTGTGAATACAATATCACTCCAGTGATAATATTATGTTACATGGTACGGGGGATTGTGCCTATGTGATTAAGATTACTAATCAGTTGGCTTTGAATTAATGTAAAGGGGAATCATCTGGGTAGGCCCAATACGATCGCATGAGTCCTCTAAAAGTAGAGAATTTTCTCTGGCCAGTGGCAGATGGGGAAGAAATAGCTGAATCATGAAAAAGATACTATGTGCCATTGCTGGCTTGAAGATAGAGAGGGCCAGCCATGTAGTGAGGAATTCAGGTGGCCTTTAGAACATGAAAACAACCCCTGGCCATCAGCTAGCAAGGAAATAGGGACCCCAATCCTATGTCTACTAGAAACTGGGTTCTGCCAACAACCTTGAATAAGCTTGGAAGCAGATTCTTGAGAGCTTCCAGACAAGAGCCCAGCCTGGCAGACATGATTTCAGCCTTGTGCGATTTCTAGCAGACAGTGCAGGCAACCTACGTAGACTCTGACCTACAGAATTGTGATATAATAAATAGGTGTTGTTTTAAGCCACTATATTTGTGGTAATTGGTAATCCAGCAATAGAAAACAGATGTGCCTGGTAGTCTGTGATTAGATGCCAGACATTGAGTTTTAGCTTCTTAGGTGCTGGATTATTTTGTATTCCTGTAAATAGTCTTGAGCTTTGTTCTAGCTCACCGTTATGTTACCTGTAAATAATTTGATCTGAGTATTGATTGCTTTTAAGATTTGTTATGCAGACCAGAGCATCATTTAGTCTAAGGGTAATTATTCTCTACTCCTGGGGCAAGACGGAATACTTGATCAGGGGAGCCCTCCCCACATCTTAGTTCTACCTCTGGAGCACTGTTTTCTTTTATTCTGCCTCTAAATTCTAGCCACCTTGGTCAGTTCTGTGTCAGTACTCTCAGTTCTAGCTCCTTAACTCAGGTAGTCCACTTGGCTGCCCCTGAGTTCCCCCTCCCTGCACTATATATACTGTATGTATATATACTAGATAGATTCAAGGCAGTAAACTCGAGAGGTCTTAAGGTTCATTTCATTTGTTTCCCATCTCTTGAGTATCAGTGTTCTTCATTGCCTGACATCCAGTGTCTTTAGCACTTTTTTTCACATATTTTGTTTAATTTTTTTTTTTAATTTGAGGATAAATCCATGCTTTTATACTTTGTTAAAAGTCCTTTGGTTGCTTTAAATAATTAAAATTTTTTAAAAAAGTGAAGCTTTAATTATTTAAGTTTAATGGGACCAGCCAATACTCTTCCTAAAATGTTATTCTCTGTGCAATATCTAAAATTTTAATACTGTAACACCATATTTAAATTCTAATATACTAAGTCTAGCCCAAATGATGACAACGCCGTATCTCTAGTTGGCTTCACAGTCATTTGAGCACCTTTGGTATTTATTTGCCTAAGGAAATTGCAATTATTTTATGCTTAGATAATTACAGTCTATAATTATTTGACTCACTAAACTATTAGAATGGAAAGTTAATACTATTTTACATCTTAAATAGAACAGAAACCCGTTTATTTATGCAAAAAACCCTATAAAGTCCTTTTCCATATTAACTATATAACTACTAAACACAACTGTTTTTCACATAGTCAGATTTCCTAGTTTCTAATTTCTGTATGTTTATTTTTAATAGGCATATTATTTGGCTTTATGTTTCCCCTTCCACATGGTCTAGCGACATAATTCTGTAATTCTTCCCTGTAATTATATAAATGATATAAATGAGTATTCAGACATACAAGAAGTTTATGTAACTTGTTTTATGCCCTGCAGACAGTTTTTGGGAGGTGCTGTTTTTTCCATAAAATTTCTTATAATTGTATTAATTAAGAATTTTCAATAGGTTTCTCTAATTGAAATAGGAAAGATGATTAGTTACCTCACAGATCCTCTGGGAGAAGAGATTTTTGTTATTTTAGCATATCTTTTTTTTTTTTTCTTCCCACTGTTTCTGAATGGATAACAAAGATAAAGGTCTATATTGGGAATTGATGTTCTAGGGTGCCTGGGTGGCTCAGTCAGTTAAGTGTCTGCCTTCAGCATCAGTCATGATCTCAAAGGTCCTGGGATCCAGCCCACATTGGGCTACCTGCTCAGCGGGATGTCTGCTTCTCCCTCTGCCCCTCCCCCTGTTTGTGCTCTCTCTCTCTCTCTCTCAAATGAATAAATAAAATCTTTTAAAAAATTTATGTTCTTATTTGATATTTGTTTATGCTAACAGGTACTTTGGAAGTTCGTCTTATGGGCTGTCAAGATATTCTAGAGACAGTCCCTGGACGGTCAAAAGCAACATCGGTTGCACTACCTGGTTGGAGTCCAAGTGAAACCAGATCGTCTTTCATGAGCAGAACAAGTAAAAGTAAAGGTGGAAGTAGTCGAAATCTCCTAAAAACCGACGACTTATCCAGTTCAGTAACCAGACTTTTTAAAAATCATATAGGGTCTGTACAAAGGACTTAGCAATGGGGACAGCAATGGGAAGAGCCAAAGTTGAACAAAAAGCTTTACAGTTATGATTTCTATAATTTAATTTTAAAACATTAAAAGCTATACTGTCAGGAAAACAAATGCAACCAAATTTATTGAAATTATCGTAGAAAACTGAATGACATATAGCATTAATTCTTTTGGAAGAATGAAATATTGAGTATCACTCTTTATGCCAAACTGAAAGTGTTCAGAGGCTGTTAGATTTGTTACATCTTCATTCTTTTAATGGTATAGTGACACTTCTAAACTAACTTTGAAATTTTGATAACTACTGGACCAAACATGTTTATTAGAGTAGTGGTTCAGTTAGCAAACAAATGGAGGAGTGGGTGGAGGTGGTAAGAGTATTATGCAACAGGTTTATGAAGCACTTTGGAGACATTATAAAATGTAATTATAAACTATGATATAAAGGTATAAGTGGGAGTGAAGGGGGGGAAAGGCCTGTGATAATTCAACCTACTGTAGAGTACAGAGGTGAATATGTCAATGCTTTCCTATATAGAGAGATTTTAGGAAAAGTGTGAAAATACAAATTGCCTGAGGTAACAAGCTCTATAAATAGTGTAGAGGCTGAAAAACTGGATGATTGCTATTTATATACAAACAAACACACATACAAAATAGATAGCATTTAATCTTTGTGTTTTTCTCAAACACAAAGGATAAGTTGGGAGCATCTAGTGGGAATGTATGTACGTATAAAAGTAGCCATTTAAGATTCAAAAGCTTCAGGATTAAGAAAGACCTTACATTCGGGGCACCTGGGTGGCTTAGTCGCTTAAGCCTCCCACACTTGGTTTCCCCTCAGGTCATGATACGAGAGGGTTGTGAGATGGAGCCCCACCTCAGACTCTGCACTAGGCGTGGAGCCTGCTTAAGATTCTCTCTCCCTCTCCCTCTACCCCTCCGCACCCTCCCCCCCAAAGAAAAGAAAAGGGAAAAAGAAACCTTATTTTCAGAGGATCATAAGACTTTTGTTGCTATTAAATGGTACTTCTGTTTTAAAGGTTTTAAAATATTTAAGCAGTTTATAAATTGTAATTACAGATGATGTCTGTGCAGTTTTGAAGCTAGATAATACTGTGGTTGGTCAAACGAGCTGGAAACCCATTTCTAATCAGTCATGGGACCAGAAGTTTACACTGGAACTGGACAGGGTAAGATGAAAACAGTTTGCTTGAATTTTCATTATATTTATCATTCATTTTGAATGTAAACTTTCTGTTTTAGAAGACTTTGAGAAGTTTTATTTTTAACACTATAAAAGAACCTAGGTATTTTTGACATTCCTCATCTGGTGAGTTATATAAGTCTTCCTTAAGACAGAGGTGAACATCAGAGCGCTGCAGTGGCTTTTGCTTGTGCAGTGATTTGAAAATGTCTAGTTTGTATTAACCTAAAAGACAACCAAGTGAGAGCTAATACTGAAATATATTTATTTTAGTAATGCACTCCCTAACAACTAAGGTGAGTCTTCTGACTCACCACCATTTGTAGGTTATAGTATCAAAGCTGGATTTGAAATGCACTAAGGTGCTCACTTACCCAGCCTTCCATGTGCTTCGGTGGCTTTTATGAATGATGTGAATGGCTAGAATGCAATATGTAGCCTTAGAATCCAGTAGAAGTAAACTTGGTCCACAGTAGATTCAAGTCCATGGTGCTAACTGTATTATTTAGATTCTAATCCATTTACTAGAGTGTGGGAAGAAAATATTAGAACTTAACCCTAATTTTGTCTAAAATATAAGAAAGATATATCAAGCTTTTTATCATTTAGTATTTAGGTTGATGTTACATTTGTCATTTTTAAATTACATATATTAGTGAAAGCAGATTTACAGTGTTTAATGATGATGTGAGGTAGTGATTACTGCTTTAGTAGCCTCTACTTTAAAAATATTTTTCCAATTTATTCTTTTCTTTCCTCATAGCCAGCATCCTAATCAGGCCCTCATCACTGCTTTTCCTGGTTCAAAAAATGTTGTATATACTTGAGCAAAATTCTTCACCTTTATGTATATCTATTTTCTTAGCTTTAATACCACCAACTTCAGTGAGGTGTGTAAAAAAAAAAAAAATCTTAGACAAGTGGTAAGAACTTGATTAATGTTGGCTTTTTTTTTAAATAAAATAATTTACTAACTAATCCCCACATGTCTTAATACCAGACTGATTTTCAAAGAACACTACCTTCATCTTGGCATTCATTCTCTCATTTAGGATCATTCATTTATTCATTAAAAATTATTATGAAATTAGGGGGTGCCTGGGTGGCTCAGTTGTTAAGCCTCTGTCTTCAGCTCAGGTCATGATCCCAGGATCGAACCCCGCATCGGGCTCCCTGCTCAGTGGGAAGCCTGCTTCTCCCTCTCCCATTCCCCCTGCTTGTGTTTCCTCTCTCGTGTCTCTCTCTGTCAAATAAATAAATAAAATTAAAAAAAAATTTTTATGAAATTATTCGTTCATTTAATCAACAAATATTCATTGGTATCTACTATATTCCCGGCACTTCCAGGTAGTAGATTAACAGTGAACAAAAAATAAGGTCTTTCAAGATTCCTCAGGGAACTTACACTTAATGGTCTTCAGTCCATACCTGATTAGTTGCAGAATTTTTACCATTACATCTGAAACTGTAAGAGTCTGCCACCTCGTTTTCCAAATATACCTTTATTTTGATAATTTCAGTTTAAAATGATGTTGAGGTCTTAGAATGCTGGGCTAAGGTGTTTATACTTGTTGGTATGGGAGATGGGATGGAAGAGACATAATGGAAAAGTTAATCTTGGAATTTGTATGAAGAACGAATTTGAGAGAGGAGGAACTAGAGGTGTGCATATTGGCAGGCAGCCACTCCAGTGCTACAACTGTAATATTAGGAGAGCTTGAAGTAAAATTTGGCAGTAGGATTAGAAAAAGATATATGCAGGAAATGAAGGAAAAAAGTATTAGTAACTAGTTGGATTTGAGTACAAGGGAAGGAATTTGTCTATAATTTGCAAAGAAAACAATGCCACAGTGATTAGAAAAAAACTATATTGGAAGGGGATGGGTTCTATACCTAGTTACTTAGCAATTAAATAAAGATGTGGAACTAGAAGTCAGGGCTGGATAAGCAGATTTGGAGATCATCTGACAAGAGGTCACAGTGAATGCCATCCAAGTGGGTAAGATCAATCCATTCATTTCACAAATATTTGTTGAATGTCTTATATATGTACCAGGCTTTTTACTAGGTTCTCGATTTACAAAGATAATATATGCTCATTGCTGTAACAGAACTCTTAGGCTTAATAATCACTGATTTTCTGTTCTGTGCCAAGCACTATTCTAGACCCTAGTAACAATTGATCAAAACTCCAAAGTCCATATACTTAGGGACCTTATATTCTAATGAGGGAAAATAAATAGTAAACAAGTTAAAAAAACTACAAATACAGTGAAGGAAGTAAATAGGGTGGTGTAATAAGGGGGTGGGGGCCACTTTAGATAAAGTAATTTAGGGAGTATCTTGAGGAGGCTACATTTGACCTGAGACCTGATGGGAGAAAAGTTGCCAGACTTGTAAAGACCCAGGGAGAATATTCCCAGCAAGAGGAGACAAAATGTACAACCCCTGAGGTAGGAGAGAACCTGATATGTTTGAAGAATAAAAATTGTAAGACAGAAGATCAAGGTAAAGTAGATGTAGGTAGCCCCGAATCACTAGGATCTTTGTAAGTTAAGAATTGGGAGACAGTTGAAGGGCTTTTAATAGGGAAGTTGACATCTTTTGATTTATCTATGGTAAATGATCTGATAGAAGTAAGTACCATGTACTTTAGAAGCTGATAAAAGACTTAACTAACACATAGTGGAAAAGAGTTTGTAAAGAAGGAAAACAAAGATCTAACAACCAAATCTTAAGCAGTATCCCAAGGGTAGGAGGAGAAAGGTTTGCCAAAGAGAAGTCAAAAACTTTGAGTTGAATCAGATCATACCTTAGATAAACATTATAAAAGCTTATCCAGTGAATAATTGCAGGAATGGTGAGATGATGAAAATCCTGTTACATATCAGACAATTGAAGAAAAATGGGATTTTTTAAAAACCTATTGAAGAAATTTAACGAAGATTTGATAGCTGTCTTTAAAGTTAAAAAGAGGAACATGTAGGGAAAAAGTAGGGTAGGGATAGCAATGAGATTTTAATTTGTGTGTGTTTATTCTAATTGATTGGTAGTGACTTCCTGGAGCTCATTGTTAAGGTTTACTGGATGGGTCTTGGTTTTCAGAGATTATACCGATCAAGTAGCAATGTTTGCCAAATTCCTGGGGAAGTGGCAAGTGGCAAGCTGTTGTGCATGTTCCATCCTTGGATTGACTGTATACTTTGTGGCTGTTGAGGACAAAGCAAAAGTCAATGGATGGCAGATTTTATTTCAGTACAAAGGATAATTGTTAAAAAATGAAATGAGCTGCTATAGAAAATAGTAAGTTCTCTCTCAATAAAGTTGAATGAGCAACTTATAAAAGAGATTATAAAGGAATTCTTGTATGAGAAAAAAGTTACACTTCTAAGATTTTTTTTCAATTCTGATATTTTCTCTTTCAGGGTAGAAGAACCAGCATTGTTATGTGCTATAAATTAGCTGTTTAAATAGTTAGACCAGTATAGTTCAGTCAAGCCTGCTAGAGAGAGAAATTAACAGTTGGGGTTGTTAGTATAGGATAGATACAGTTTTCATGTCTTGTTACATTTGTGGCTTCTTTCTAAACTGTGTGAATACATAGAAACATTTATGACCATAAAATGTTTCTTTCAGTTTCCATTCATTTTTAATGTATTAGATTTGCTATAACATTGGTTTTTGAAGCCAGGCAAATTGGGTTCATTGTCCATCTAGTACTGACTAGCTTTTGATAGTAGACAAGTTATATAACCTTACTACTGTGCATTTGTTTCACCATCTCTAAAATGGGGTTAAAATATGCAGTTAGCCCTTGAACAACATAGGTTTGAATTGTGTGGGTCCACTTAACATGTGGATATTGTACAGTAAAGTACTATAGATGTATTTTCTCTTATGATTTTCTTAATATGTTTTTTCTAGCTTACTTTAAGAATATAGTACATAATACATATAACATACAAAATACATATAAGTTTACTATTTATGTTATGAGGTTTCCACTCAACAGTAGAGTAGTAGTAAAGTACTGGGGAGTCAGAAATTATACTCAGATTTTTGACTGTACAAGGGTTGGTGCCTTTAACCCTTGCATTGTTCAAGGGTCAGTTGTAATCTTTGTAGGACTGTTAGAAAAACTGAGGTAGTGTATGTAAAATCCCTTTCATTGCGTGGCACATTTTAGCCACTCGATGGCATTAATTCTTTCTTTAGCCCTAGGCTTTGATGTGTGGGTGGCTATGAATTTAAGTATAATAGAAGAGTATGTATATAGTAGGTTATGGGGAATTAATTGGTTGAATGTCATTTTCTTTCACTTCAGAGCCTATTTAAAGTAATTATAGGATTTTTGATGAGTGATATGATCAAAATGAACCTCAAAGAGGGGCACCTGGGTGGTTCAGTTGGTTAAGCATCCAACTCCTGATTTCAGCTCAGGTCACGATCTCAGGGTTGTGGGATCGAGCCCCGCATCTCATCAGGCTTCAGGCTCAGTGGGGCGTCTGCTCGAGATTCCCTCTCTCCCTGCCCCTCCCCTCACTTATGGGTGCACATGCACTCTTTCTCTCTGTCTAAAATAAATAAATAGATCTTAAAAAAAGAAAAAAAATGAAACTCAGAGAATTATTGTTAGAGGGAAAACAGCTGGTTAAAAGCTTTCTCTTGCAGCCAGATTATTGTATTTATAGAGTTTTATATTTAAAATAGAATTTAAAAGTAACACATACATATAAAATAAAATAAAAAAGAACTCAAAAGTAAGTTTACCATCATTTTATAGTTAAGGAAGCTGAGCACCAGAGTAGTTACATATTAATAAATGTCAGAGCTGGTACTAGACCTCAGTGTTCTTCAAAATGGATGTTCTGGGGCGCCTGGGTGGCTCAGTTGGCTACGCGACTGCCTTCAGCTCGGGTCGTGGTCCTGGAGTCCCGGGATCGAGTCCCGCATCGGGCTCCCTGCTCGGCGAGGAGCCTGCTTCTC